GCCCTGAAAAAGGCGTCCACATGAAAAAAGGGGCTTGGATTTCATAGAAGGCTTTTCCGGGAGGAATAAGTAAATTCTTTTCAAACAAGAAAGAAAGATAAGCATCCTCTTTTCAGGAGGGAGGAGGAAATTGAGTTCCCTTAGTTCCCTGGAGTCTGGCACGGGGACAGCGGTGGGCTTGAGAGGAGGTGTGGGTGGAAGACGGGGAGGGGGGTTCTGTAAGCCCAGCAGAGATCTGCTCAGAAACGCGGGGAGCCTGCTCCGCAGCAGAGCAGAAGTGCCGCTCCCTGCAGAGGAGGCCTGAGCCGGGTTCCTCCAGGGCCTCTATTGGATCAGCTTAACCACAGGCTAAACAAGGGGAGAAATCTTCATGTCATTTCTTGGAAAGGGCAGGTGTTTTCCTGGAATTAGTGTGACTCCCTCCTTTTGTCGAGCAGGCAGTGTCCTCGGGTCAGGCAGGGATTGGGTAGTTCCTTAGAAAGTTTCTGGCACTGAAGTGCATAGAGAAGCAGTGAGGGCCAGCGCTGGTCCATTTCTGCAGGATTCTGGCTTTAATGGGTTGGACGTTGGCCTGCCTCGGGCTGTCTGGTTTTCATGAGGGAAGCTCTAACTTCCTGACTCACTTAACAAAGCCTGCACAGTTCAGCAATGCCCAGGGCAATGCCCAGAGCAGTGTCTGCCAGTTCCCAGCTCATCATCTGGGGACCCTCAGATTATGGGGGTGGCAAGGAGAGGGGTGGGGATTGTCACAGCCATTTCATCCCCCTGTGAGCAGGAGACTAGGAACATCATTATTCTGGTGCACAAGGACGGGGACTTTATCATCAACATTATCATGAATGCCCAAAGTGGGGAACTTTTTATGGAACAAGCCAGATAGGAAATATTTTAGGCGCTGCAGGCTGCCTGGGAAGCTTAGCACGTTCAGCCCCACCCCCACACATCCTCCAGAAAGGTCACAGGGACTGGAGCCTGCGTTGGCAAGTCAGGCCTATGTCAGGAAACCTCCAGAAAAGCCCTGAACTAGGGGGGGGTCACAGAGCTTCTGGGCTGCTGAGCAGGAGGGGGTGCCTGGAGGAGGCAGGGCAGCCCCCAGCCTTCCGCACTCCTGGCCCCGTGCGTCTCGTCCCTCTGCTGCTCCCTGCACCCTCGCTCGTGTGCTTCTGATAGACCAGGACACGGAAGGAAACCCCTTCCCTGCGTGCTGGGACCACCAGTGGGGTGTTGTGGGAAGCCCTGATTTATAGCTAGGTGGTCAGGAGTTCCAGGGACCCAGACTTGTCATTGGCATTTGAAGCAGGCACAGTGTTGAGGGACTCAACCTTTTACCTGTGGGACCTGATGCCAACGCAGGGAGGGAGCGGCTGATCTGAATGGAATCCTAGGTCACCAGGTGGCCACCACCAGAACACTGGTCAAGGTGGAAAAATCCCCACACATTTTGGTGCCCAGGACGTTGAGTGAGCGAGCAGGAAGCAGCTGGGTTTCCCACGTGACGCAGAGCCTCAGACAGCTTCCCCCAGGGGGTGGTGGGACTGGCGGGCAGGCACAGCAGCCAGAGGACAGCAGGGCTCCTGACAAGGAGTCCCTGATGGGGGACGTGAGCCTGGGACCAGGGGCCGAGTGGTGTGAACGCTGCGCACAGCCGAGCCCTGCCCAGCACAATGGCACTCACAGCAGCCCCCTCCATCACCGGCTTGGGGACAGGGCGGGAAGCAGCGGGGGCAGCGCCACCTGGAGGCGCAGAGGGGCAAGAGTGGCTCGCCAGGAGGAGGAGGAGGCCTCGGGGCAGCCGGAGCACGGCCAGGGGACAGCGTTGAGGGACACTGAGGTTATTGGGTCCAATCCTGCAGGTGGCCAGTAAGGTGAGGTCAGAGACAGAAGCTCTGGGCTTGGCGAAAGGCAGGGCGTGGGGACTTGGGGAGAGCAGCACCGCAGTGGGGGACCTGGGGGAAGGCAGGTGCCGGTGGTGGGCGCTGAGGGGGAGAGACAGGGTCTCCTGCCTCAGTCTCCTGCCCTTTCTGCCACGCGGCTCCGCCTCTGCAGAGACCTGGACTGGGCGGCTGGTTTCTCCTTCCATCCTGGCTGTGTCCCGGCTGGGCCCATGGCCTTGGGCAAATGTCACCTTCCCTACTCTGTGTTTGCATCTGTCAGCAGCTGGGTGAGCCCAGACCGCCAAGGCCTCTTCCGGTTTTTATGTTCATTGCTCTTGGGTCTGGGAGTGACCGGGGCCTGCGGGTGACGGTTTGTAGGAGGGAGCAGAGAACGCCCCCAGTTGGCAGTGAGCTGTCACCCAGGATGGCCTGAGGTCTCCTCTGGGCCGAGGGGTCCACAACAGGGGACTGATAGGACACATGGCAGGATAGGAAGGGGACTGTGTTCCAACAAGCTCTGTGATGATTTCAGCAGTGCAGGTGGCAGATGGCCCATGTGGAGGAGCACCAGGTGTATGAGAAGGTGCTTCCCCTGGGGTGACTCGCTGCTGCAGGTGAGCCATGTCCCCCACGCCTGAGTTAACTCAAGGTCGGAGCTGTCGGGAAGGAGGCTGTGGGAACAGGGTGGAGAGTCCGGGTGAGGACAGGAGTTCTGCAGAATGAGGGGCTAAAGGGGACAGGGCTGTGTGAAGGTTAAGGTCAGGGGTCACCTAGACTGGATGTGTAGGGCAAAGGAAGGGCAGAGGAATTTTTCCAATTGTCGGGAATTTACTTGGGTGGGGCAATGAGCTAACCACAAACTTTTGCTTCTGGTCATTGCTTGCTACACCGCTGTATGGGGAATTATGGGATGAGGTCATTGAAGCATGGGCGACTGACCCATCAGGCAATAGAGGGCAACCAACCCGCCAATTATTTCAAAAGGCAATGGTGGGCAACCAATCATTTTAAAGGTCAATGCATGATCCACGTATGATCAGCTTGTGCGCAGCTTGTGCACCATGGGGATAAAAGGCATGCCATTGTTCCAGTCGGGGTCCTTGCCTGCGAGAGTGGCCACTACGTTGGTGCTCTGGGGCTTGGACCCTGGCTAGCCAGAAAATAAACCTCCTCTTGTGTGATTGCATCCTCAATGTCTCTGCTTTTCTGTCCGGTGGGGCTGTGGAAAGTCGGTCCCTAAAAGATGGAGGAACACCCAGAGACCTGGCGAAGGGCGTTGCAGGGTGAGCGAGTGAGGGTGAGTCCTGAGCAGAGGACAGTGTGAGTGTCAGTGAGCTGGGGGACAAGATCCGCCCTCAGTGTGGCCAGGACCACCCAACCCCCTGGGGGTGTGGGGAGAACACAGAGAAACGCAGATGTGTCCATGTCCCTGCTGGAGCTGGGACACTCCCTTCCTCCCTTGTCCTGGGACAACAGCACCAGGCTCCCCAGCCTGTGGACTCAAGGGCACACACCAGCGATCCCCTGGGTGCTCAGACTTTGGGCACAGACTGTGGACGGCATGGGCTTCCCTGGCTCTGAACCAGCACACTTGGACTGAGCCCTGCTGCCAGCATCCCAGGCTCTGTGGCTGCAGATGGCCTGTCCTGATAGTTGTCATCCGCCCTCACCTGCGACCCCATCCCCCTCACATACATCCCTCTCCCCTCTCTGCCAGGACTCCTGACCCAGCCTGTTGCTTGTGTCTCTGCAGAGCCCGACTCACAAGAGCAGCAGAGGCGCCAATGAGGAGGGATTGGGGACAGGGGGACTCGCTCTGCCACCCAGTGCCCAGAGGGTGGTCACCGGGTTCAGCCCACCCAGGGAGCTGGACTCACTCACATCCTGGCTGCAAACAGGCACGGGCAGGGCTGCTCCGGAACTGGAGTATTGCCTGTCCCATGTTGATCTCTCACACTCATTTTCGTCATGAGTGATTCTAGGACCTGTCTACCTCTAGGAAATGAAAAGCCACCTGAGGCCGTGGAACCTAGGCTCTTCCTGAGCAGGTGACGGGCTGCAGAGGACCCTGGTCAGAGCAGTTGCAGGTGCAAGAGGGGACGGATCTGTGACTACAAGCCTTAGGGAAGAAACCTGTGAGAGGAAGTCAGAGGAGAAAAATATTTGCAATAGAAAAATCATGTTGTGTATTTATTAACCAAATAATCCCAATCAAATAAAAACCAAAGGTGCTTCTGCAGCTAAGGAAAGCGAGACAGCGCCAGCACGTGACAGGTGATGCTGTGACCTGTCACAGTGGGACCGTGGATGCCAGGTGATCTCCGTGGATAACCTTATTTACACTCTCCTCTGTAAACACACGAGTCATAGACACAGCCGTCTCTCTCTGGAGTGAGACCTTATATTTTTCAAGTAACGCTGTGCAACACTAGCCTCACGCCTGGAGATGTCTGATCCGGACACCCTGGACATTCCCGAGTTCTGTCCCAGCGGTGGCAGCAGCACATGAAGGGACTGATCGTCTCAGGGGGTGGCCCACTGTCCCCAAAGCTCCTGCACACAGTGTGGGGCCTCGTGACACAGAGGAACCCGTCACTGTCCTCTAATGCCCCACTCAGATGTCACCTCCCCAGCCAGCCTGTTCCCCTCTGTCCCCTTCCCTGCCGCGCCACTGCCAGAGTGACTCTCACTCCTGGGTGAGTGAGAGTACTCCTCCTGGGTGTCCCTCACGCTGCCCTGTGTGCAGGAGCCTCTGCCCATGGCGTCCTCTCGCCTGACCCAGGACTTCCTTGAGGGAACGGACTGTGTCACCCTCACCATTGTCCCCCTCCTGCCAGAGAGAGCTTTGACCACATGAAATGCTCACTCGTGTTTATTAAATGCAGCAGTGACTGAAGAGTTAGGGTTAAGCGGCTAGATATTTGTTCCTCCAACCCACGAGCTCATGTGCAGGGGAGCGCAGGGAGGGTGTCCCCCAAGGCCCCAGGCATGGGTGCCCCTCACAGATGCACGTGCCCTAGGCAGGCCTCTCTGTTCAAATCCATCTCAAATCCCCATCTTCCGTTGACTAGAGGAGCAGCGCGATCCAGCAGGCTGAGTGCAGAGCGCAGGCTGCACTGGAGCGTGGAGTCGATTATGTGATCAGGTGGGGACATTTCCCTAGGTCGTCACGGCAGGGACAACCAGGGTCCTGGAGGTCCAGAAGGTTAGGCCTTCTTTTGGTCCCCATGAGAGACACCTCTGGAATCTTTAGCTTCTGTTACACAGAGCGCGAGACCTCATTGTGTCACTATGCAAACGAGGTGCCACTTGCATGCTCGTTGACATCCACTCGTCTCTCCTGGACAAACAGACACACGGGAGGGGTGTTAAGGGTGAGGGAGGGGTGGAACTGAGGCCCTGAGACCCCGTGGGGCTCACCCATCCTGGGCAGGAAACAAGAACCTGGAGGACCCGCCAGTCTCCACCCCTGGGGGCATCTCTGCACCCTCTGAGGAGCTCCGGGGCTCACCTGTGATACTCAGTGTCCTCTTGGTGGGTGGACGCCGATTCCTTTTGTGTTCCATATGGTAAATTGTCCCAGAACATACAGATCAAGGCGCACGCGATCAGCACACTCCCAGCCAGGATCCCAGCTAGCTAGGAGACCAAGGGGTGGGGATGGAGGTCAGATGGGCTGTGGGGGCTGAGGGGCGATGGTGATGTGAGCCCAGACCCGGAGGCTTTGTCCCAGCTCAAAGTGTGGCCTGGGAAGGACCATCTCTGACTTCGGGAGGTTGGGGTGCCCTGTCGTCTCTCAGCCTCACGGGGCAACATCCCACCCGGTCAATGAGGGTCACGTGTGGGGGTGAGAGTCTGACCATTTCAACACTCCCTGCCAGCGCTTCCTGAGGGACAGGGCCATCGTGTTTGGGGAAACACCTTGACCGGTGGCTTCAGGTGCGGGAGGCCTGAGGTGGGGTCTGGAGTCACACAGGGAATTGGAGCTGTGCTGTGCAGGCTGGGATAGGATTTCAAGGGTTCAGAGAGACTGCAGAGAGAAAAGCAAGATGGTGGCAGGGGACAGAAGGTTCCAAGCGCCATGGCGGCAGGTACAGCCTGCAGGGAGAGGCTCCTGCCCGAGACCCAGACTCGCCAAGCAGGGCTGGCGACGCCCCAGGGATGGGTGGTTTGCGGGGATGTGATGTGAACCTCCGCCCTCCCGCTGACCCTCTGCAGAGAGCCAGCCACTGAGAGGACTTCTTTTCTTGTGACAGTGACATTTTGTGGAGGGGAGGAATGGAGGCTGCCCCTTTGGCTTGGGAAAAAGAGTCAGTGAAATGATGCCCACACTGAACTAATTGAGCAGCAGGAGGGACCCAGGAGCAATGCAGGCCTCTGCTGTGGTCCCCGAGAACACCCAGGGGTGCGGGGTCTCACAGAGCCGCTGGGAGGAGAATTTCCAGAGAATCCATTTGTATCTGAGGGACAAGGGAAGACCCAGGTGCCATTTGGGTTCCAATTATGTGAGATGATAAACATGACAGTATTATTCAAATCAATATTAATAAGGTGCATGGCACCTGGTAGGTAACACAGAAAACTTTCTCAATAATCATTTTTAAACTGTCCTTGGGGGGAGCCAGCAGCTCAGGGACTTGTCCCTTTGGAGAGGCGTCTCCTTAGCCCTTTCCTTCTCCCCCCTCAGCTGAGCAGCGGTTGTCACACGTCCACTCGGTACCCGAGGCTGACAGCAGCACCCTGACAGGAACAAGCTGGGAGGGGACAGGTGCAGACCAGCTGAGTGTCACTCACAGCAGAGGGGTAAGAGCCATAAAAGAGCAAAAAGAGGGTCCCAGGGCCCTGAGGGGAGGGAGGTTTGCTTCTCCCCAGGGGCCTTAGCGAGGGTGGGGTGGGAGTGGGCTCCCGGGCAATGCGGGGGCAGGATGAAGGAGTCGGAGTCAGTGTGTCCCGGGAGCTCAGAGGAGAAGCTGGGCCTTCTGCACTGAGTATGCGGTGCGTTTCCATGGTGTTGTTAAAGAAAATCTCCATAGGTAGAAGCTTCCAAGGAACAAGGGTCCCTCAAGCAGCTTCCATTGCTTTTTAATGGGAAATAATTCCATCTGTCAGACCCTGGAGCCCCTGCGTTCCGGGGTCATCATGTGCAAAGCAGACACTCAAGGTCGCCCTGCAGGGTCAGATGGGCTGGCTGAGGCTGGAAGGTGGGGTGTCCGTGGGCATGGGGGAGTCTCCGCCCAAGATCAGACCTTGGCAGACTGAGATTACAAACTGAGTTTCCTGCCTGCGGCTCTGTCCCTGGCCTGGCGCTGGCTGTGCTGCTGGGTTCCTCCCCCGGGAAAAGTCCCAGATTCTTCCTCCCTCCTCCCTTCCTGCCCACGTCTCCAGGGCCTCCCCGGACACCAAGCTCCTTACTGGGGAGTTTCTCAGTTTCCTGCTTGTGCCTGTCCTCAGAGGACAAAAACCCCTCCACCCGCATCCCAGCTGCCTGGCCCAGTGTCCAGCAACAGTCACCCCCTCTTAGAGCCAACCATCCACTCTCCCCCAGGCCTAACTGTGCGCTTCCCTAAGAATTCCCAGGAACTGGCCTTGAGCAACTGACTCTGACCCCAAAGGCAGCACCACTATCTGCAGAGGGCAGGGCCCGGCGGTTCCTCTGCCATCCCGCTGCGGTCCCCTCTGCCCGCCAGCCCACGGAGAACGCGCTGCCCAGGGGCCCTGGGGGGGACGGGCCGACCCGCACACAGCGGCCCCTGCGTGTCCTTTGTCACAGCTGCTTCCCTGTCCAGTCCCGCAGTCACCTCAGGAGCTGAGATGGCCTTTGGGACCCGAGTCCCCATGTCCTCCGCTGCTCGGCTCCTGAATACACCTGCTGTGCCTGACACCCACCCCCTCTCCAGGGGGCTCCTCCGTGTGCCCAGCAGCCCACCCTGCTTTGGGCAGCCATTGACCAGCGTCAGCGACCTATGCCCTTCTCCTGACAATGTCCTCCCAGTGAGCACAGCCAAGCAGCACAGACGCCCAACGCTCCTCCTGGTCCTTTCCTGGTCCATTTCCTGGCACTGACTTGTTCAGGCAGCCATGTCCCTGCCTCAGTGACCCCCACGGTCCCCTGACTGGCTCCACCTCCTGTCCCCGCCAGTTCACATCCAGCCCAGGACCACGGAGGCCTCCCATGGGCACCTCTGGTTGTGACCTTCCTCTGGACTCTGGGTGCAGGACACCCCTGCGGGCAGCTGCAGGCCCTTGCTGATCAGACTCCCTCCCCCCTCCTCCCTGGCCCCCACAGCCCTCACATCCGGGTCTCTCCCCCTGACACCCCACGCCTGACGGGCTGCCCTGATGGCCCCAGCCTGGCTCAGTAGCCCCTCCCTGGGATGCCCACGTCTCTCCCAGCACCTCCTCTCCTCCACAGGAGACCCAGGACAGCCCTCTGGACACAGAAAGGGCTTAGCCCCGCTGCTACCAACTCCTAATCTCTCACGGAAACAGATTTTGCATAAGAACAGGATTTTGATACCACTTTCTTATTAGAAATTGGCTCTCACAGGTCCCCAGAGTGGGAAACCATAGTAATTCCTACCCATGGGGGGTCGAACCCCTGTGGATTTTCCCTGAAATATCAGGAACTACTTACCACCCCAGACATACTGAAGCCACAGCCGCTGTGTCAGGTGTTCTGTCCCCTGCCTGCAGGGTGTTCTCTTAAAGGCTGGGAATTTTACTTTCAGTTTCATCTTCCTCTACTCCCAGCCAATCATTTTCTAACTGAATTTTGAACAACAAAAACAAAAAACACCCAACAGATGCATGACATGTGTAATTACTTGACCCCTCACACCCAGAAACGGGAGGAGAAATAGTGCCACCTGAGTCACAAACCACATACCGGACAGTCCTCCCTGACCTGGGCAAGGGCTGCTTTGAAGCCAGCTCAGTGTCCCCTGATCATCACCCTGATTACTCAGTCAGATTTTGCTCTTGAAACAAGCAAACCCAGTATCTCGACGACTCAGGACAGAGACTTCTTTCTCACTCACGGAGCACGAGGGCTGGGGCAGTGGAGAGGCCTCTGGGCTCAGCAGCGTTTGGCTTCAGGCAGAGGGGGAAGGTCAGGTCCCCACCTCCTGGGTTACAATCTGGGCCCGGGTGAAAGGAGTGGCCCCGACCAGGGACGTCTCCTCCTGGCAAAGTGCACGGGAGCCCAAGGAGCTGACACCAGCCACGCAAGTCCCTCTGTGAACTCCTGCTCAGGTGTGCTCACAGACGGTGTGCTCACTCCCTTCCACTGGCCCAAGAGATTGCACGACCAAGCCACAGGCAATGAGGAACCCTGGTAGGCCCCCAGATAATGGCAGGGACACGTCCTGTATCACCTTGAGGGGCACAGCAGCAGGGGGTGGGCAGGGGAACCAGTCTGAAGCCAGAGACACTTCCCACAGCCATTCAGAACTGAAACCGCAGAAAATGCTGGGCTGAGGGACGAGGGACGGCGGCTGGGTGGGGACACTGCATCCATGTGTGTCCACAGGCACAGGCACAGCAGGTGCCCGTCTAGGTGAGACTCTGGGGGTGTCAGGGGATGCGCCGCCTTCACTGGAAGCCCGTGGCTGCAGGTCACACACTGCACTAGCTGGGGCTCTCCAGAGAAGCAGAACTGTTGGGAGACACGTGCATACATATGGGGATTAACTGTGCAGATTGGGTCATGGGACTCAAGGGTCGTCCAGGAAAGCCAGGCTGGATTGCACACTGAGACTGAACCCACCACAACCAGGAGAGCCCTGGTGTCACTCCCCGTCCAGGGGCAGAAGAGGAGATGGGAGGTCCCAGCCTTAGCAGTGAGGCAGGAAGAAGGGGTGAAGCCCTCCTTCCTCCACCTCGTGTCCTCTTCAGGCCCTGCAGGGGTGGGTGATGCTGGCACATTGCTGGGGGCACAGAGAGCACCACGTCCCCTACTCAAATGCTCGTCTCTCCCGCAAACGCCTGGCAGACGCTCCCAGAGCGATGTGGAATCTGAGCCCTCCTTGGCCCGGTCAGGTGACACCCAAACTACACCAGGACAGCTACTAAATACAATGGATGCGACGGCAGGAAATCCTCTCTTCACATAAGGAGATGTCAAGATCCCGTGTGGCCGGGAGATTTTAGTGCCTGGCGTTTCTCTGATGACCAGACGACGTGCGCTGTGCCGAGGCCCTGCTCACTCGCACAGGTGAGCCGCTCCCCTGCCCAGCACCCCTCGCTCCCACGGCGCCTGCCAGTGCTGCTGTGCTTCGTGTTCCTGTCACACAGGAAGTGGTGACTGCAGGGTCGTGAGGAGACTGTGTGAGATTGTCTTGCAGAAGGAATAAGTGCCTTGAAAATGTTTCAAGTAGCTCCTGATGCCCAGAGTGCGGTGACTCAGGTGCCATCAGACACTAGAACCCCACAGACCCCTCCCCCTTGCTCCCCACGCCATGAAAGTGCCGGGCCCTAGTTCTTTAGGAAGATGGGCTGGGGAGATTTTGTTCTCTTGTCTTCTCACTTTGGTGAAATCTCTATCTCTGAGCACTAGTGACACCGTGTGTGGGCATAGCTGCACATCGGGGACGCAAGCCTGCGTTGGTGTCACCAACGGTGGGAGGGAGGAGAGGGGCTCTGACCATAAGGGGTAGTGTGAGAGAGAGAGCTTGTTGTCAGGGACGGTCTGTCTCTTCACAGTGCTGGTGGCTGCACAAATCTACACGTTTGGTAAAAAGGAAATATCCACAGGCATTGTAACAATGTCACCATACTGAATTTGATATTTTTTGTAGTTTTCTTAGATGGAATCATGGAGAGAAACTGAGAGAAAGTACAGGAAACTTCTATGTACTACCTCTGCACCACTCCATGAATGTGTGAACTGTTTGCAAAAGCACGTGCGGGCACCGGACAGCAACATGATGCCTGATAGAAAACTGGCCGTGGAGGCGAGTCTCGCGTGCATTCTCACTGCTCCCTGACAGTAGTTTTCAAACCGCGGTGCAGGAAAGTGGAGGCAAACAGTGACTGGCAGCTGCATTAAGTGGAGGAAGCAGATCACATTTCAGGATGGTCTTAGAAATGTACCAGAGACGAGGGAGCTTCAGAGCAAGGGCCCTCAGAAATTGTGTGAAAATGTTCCTTGTGTTTGAGCCACAGCTAAGCTGCATAAATATATGGGAAGACATCCCAGGAGGTCCAGCAGAACCATCTGATAAAGGGCCAAAAGCTTAACAACCCAGGGATTCTGTTGAAACAAAAAAGCTGAAAAGATACGCCCTGGTAATAATAGCTATGTTTTAGAAGCAAAGTGCTAATTGAATAGTCCTGACCTAGCAAAGTCTAAAATCAAGTTTGCATGGGACCAAGGTAATTCACTGTAATTTAATTGCCTGCCTTATTAAAATTTGCCATTCCACAGAGGTAAATAGTGATCTACTATATCACACAATGCCCAGCACAGAATATAAATTCTAGATAAGCAAAGACTGAAAAGGTGACTGATCAGCAAGGAATAAAATGGCCCAGCCACAGAAGTGCATTCAAACATGACCAAGATGTTTGCTTAGGCAAAGACTCAAAAGTATGATTTAAAGTTTAAAAAATATGAATGGACAAATGTGAAGAAATACCCAGTGCAATAAAAAACGTCCAGAGGGTTGAGCAGGTATTTTTCAAATAATGATATTCATGTGGCCATCATCATATTGGAAGGTTTGCTAATTTTATATGATTCTTGTGATTTCATGTAAAACACTACGAAGAGTTGTTTAACATCATCACTGATCAAGTGAATGCAAGTTAAAATCACAAACGTGTACAACTGTGTCACTCCAGAGGGACAAAAATGAAAAAAAGGTCAATAATAAGTGCCTTCAGGAAAGGGAATCATCTGGAAATTCCCAGTAAGAATGTAAGTTGGTTTATCCAGTTTGTAAGGTGGCGTGGGCGTATGTGGGAAAGCTGAACATAACACCTTGCCCCTCATGACTTCTAATGGTTTCTTTTTTTTTTTAAATTGTTGTTATTTCATTTCATTTTATTTTTTTGAGATAGAGTCTCACTGTGTTGCCCGGGCTAGAGTGTCATGGCATCAGCCTAGCTCACAGCAACCTCAAGCTCCTGGGCTCAAGCGATCCTCCTGCCTCAGCCTGCCGAGTAGCTGGGATTACAGGCATGCGACACCATGCCCGGCTAATTTTTTGTATATATATTTTTAGTTGCTCAATTAATTTCTTTCTATGTTTGGTAGAGACGGGGTCTCGCTCAGGCTGGTTTTGAACTCCTGACCTCGAGAAATCCACCCGCCTTGGCCTCCCTGAGTGCTAGGATTACAGGCGTGACGTTATGGGTGATTTAGATCATGTGCCTTTTGCACGAGGTTCTCAACTATGCCTGTGTAATGTCGCCTCCATTGAAACCCTAGAGGCTGGGGTTTGGAGAGCTTCCAGGTAGCTGAGCCATGGAGGTGCTGGAGGGCGTGAGCTCAGTCCCTCCCCACTACCTCGCTCATGCTGTCTTCATCTCTATCCTTTGTAGCGTACTCAGCCTAGCAAAATGACCCTCTTTTTGGGTTAGTTTTTGTTCCCTCTGACTTGATAGTCAAGCCTAACAACCAGTGGTAAGCAGCCTCTGCCCAGGACTCAGCAGCCCTCAGCAGCAGCTCATTCTTGGAGCAGCCCCTGAAGACCCCGTGACGTCAAACCCTCACAGCCTGACCTGCGCCCGCGCCCTCGTCCGTGCCTTGCCCCTAGCGAGTCGGGAGACACATGTGACACTA